TGGCTGCAGCAAAATAAACTTGAAACTGTGTGCATCCTAGAAGACTTTTGATTTGGCAACACAAGCTTTTAAAGGGAGAATTGGGAACATTTAAATGAGTTAAAAATTTAATATATGTGAAACAGTTATGTTGAATCGAGTCTAGCTAAATTAAGCCTAAATTACTAGCTAAATCTAGCTAAATTACTGTTGCATAGTATAACTAAGGCATTCATCACTTTATTCCAATAAAGTCAATTTTCATGCTAATACATTTTTATTTTATATCTCTTTTACTCAACTAGTTATTGGGTCGGACTATAACTATTACTTTAAAAAGTCCAGACTGGATCAAAAATTTGGAAGAAGAAATGAGTTTAGAGAAAATTAGCGTTCCGTTACCATCGTCAACAAGCTCTACCCTGCTCGGTGAAGATGCGGAGGTCACGGCAGATTTCGATATGGAAGGTTTGTTTATTGAACACATTTTATTTCTGTGCTTCTAGATAAATTTCCTTCCCATCAGTAAAGCCTTAGTCTCCAAGCTTATCCTTCTCTTTCTTCTTGTAACACATTAGCAGTATTAGATTTTGTTTTGCATTATATTACGTTTATTTTGCTGGTGCCTGGACTTTAAATGTATTTGCCATTCTTCCATTCAAAGGTTAAGAGCTTTACAAATGTTAGTTTATGTCCTTGTGTGATAGGAACACAAATTAGTAGTTTTGGTACATGGTATGGTCCCACTAATCGCAGTTAAGGTGGAAAAGTAGAAGTTCAAAGTGGGTATTTTAACAACAGAAATGAGTTCAAATAATTAAAGTTATTTTAAAAGATTCTCAAAGTGGCTAGGAACACATGCAGTTGAAACTGTACTCATCCGTATAAATGTAGCCATTTCAAGCTAAGAATATGGAGACAGGTTATTTGGATATATTAATTTCCTTAAACTTGATTAAGAAATACATTTGCGTTCTAGTGCTAGATGCATATTATTGTAGCATATTTTCCATTAAAATTATAAACAAATACCTTTGTTTATAAAATGAGAATACATCATCTTGTGATACCCGATATATCGAGAGAATGAATTTAAGATCTGAACACCTTTCAAGATATCTCGTTTTCACACTTCTCTGTTCATTTATTTGCTTAGTACACACAGTTATGTAGTACCTTTCATGGGCCAGGTACATGCTAAGTGCTGGGAATTCAACACATGTCATCCTTGACCTCCCAGAGCTCACAGCTTAGTGGGTGTTACACATAAGTAAGCAGGCAGTTATAATCAAGTGACATAAATGCAGTAATGAGCGATGCTGCAGTCATTCATGGGAGAGCCGCCTAACTTGGATTTGGGAAGTTGGGAGAGGTATCCCAGAGGAATTGAAATTTAAACTGAGAATCTGAAGACTGAGTGAGAATTAGATTTAAGAGGGTAGGAAAGGGTGAACCAGGAAGAAGGAATATTTAGGAACCAAAGGGAAAAACGAGCTAAGTTGATTTTGCAAGTACGCTTGTGAGGGAGGAAGTGGAGAAATAGAAAGACGGGCAGGAGCACGTGTGGGATGGAAGGTCAATCTGTTTTCTTTTTTTTTCCTTGGTGTATTTAAAGGGTTTTTTTCCTTTTTATTTTTTTAAATTTAATTTTATTATTAGTTTCAAGCATATAGTACATTGGTTAGATAGTTATGTAGTTTGTAAAACGATCCCCCAATTGCCCTTTCCCTCCTCCGTCTCTCCACTTAGCCATTACATTAATGTTAATTGCATTCCCTATGCCGTGTTCCCCATCCCCGTGACCATCGCTCAGCTACTAATTTGTACTTCTTTAACCCTTCACCCCTCTCTCCCAGCCCCGTCCACCACCCCCCCGCCCCCCGGCTGTCAGCAGAAGGTCAGTCTGATTTTGAACATGTTGGATTCGAGGTGTCTGTGGGGTTTCTGGGGCCCAGATGGTGGCTGTGGGTGTGTGGGCCGGGTGCTCCGCAGCAAGCTCTAATGGCCGTTAAAGCTGGGGTTGTTCATTAGCTCAGCCAGAGGGTTATATAGAAACGTGAGTGAACTGGCCTTGGGATTGAATACAGAGAAAAACAGACTTTAGGGCTAGGCTGAAGAAGGCTGCCAGTCAAAGGAAAATGAGAAGAAACAATTCGAAATGTCCAGGAGCCAAGAGAAAACAGCGGCTTAAAATCAAGGAAAGTAATGGTACCCAGAAAGGAGTAGTCAGTGGTGTCTTATGTCACAGAGAGGAGAAATGGGGACTGCAACTTGTCCTTTGGATTAAATAACAGGGAAGGAAGCTGTTGGTGACATTCACCAGAGTGATTTCAGTGGGGCGGTGAAGCCAGATGGTGGTAAATTGAGGTGTGGCTGGAAGGTGAGGAAGTGGAGAGTGTCTGTAGACAACTCTTTGAAGAAGAGTGGCTAAGGGCTGGGGGCGGGGAGAAGGGGGCACTTGCTCCTGGAGTTTGGGGGTGCAGGGAGTGTGGTTTTGAAATGGGAGGGGCTTGGGAATGCTTAGTGCTGGCGGAAAGGGCGGTAAAGGGGAAACGACAGACGATATTGGGGAATGGCACAGTGAGGGATAGAGCAGTGTCACTGAGAAAACGGGTGGGCAGGGCCTCATTTGTTCCATCCACAAGTCCGTGAGTGCCAGCCAGGTGATCAGACTCCGGCATGAGCGCGGGTCGTTGAGGCGGGGAGTTCCTGTCTCAAGATTCCTCTTTCCTCTGTAGAGTTTAAGGGTTGAAGTTACCTGCAGGAATGGGGCAACCCACAGTTTCAGGAGTGTTGGGAAGGCTCGAGATAAAGCTCCTGAGAAGGAGTCAGGAGAGAGCCAGCCAGAAGACTATGGAGTCGTCAGGCAGCTTTGGAAGCCCCAGTGAGGCTGAAGACGACATGTTTAATGTGACTGTGGTCATCAGAATCGTGTGGTTTTCTCCAGCAGCAGCACTCAGCAGCCCAAGTACAGTCGTGGCAAGATTAACGGTGGAATTGATGCAGGTGTGACGGAAGGCTAGGGCAGCTCAGGGTGGCTGAGGAACCATGGACTCCGAAGACAGGCGCAGAGAAGCAAAATCGGATAGGGGCCAGAAGACAGGGATCGAGGGCCTAGATCTTGATGAGTCAAAAGAGGGAAGAGTAACAGAGGGAGAGAGGGAAAGCCGGAGGTGGTGGTCCAAATGAAGGGTTTGGAGTTTGTCAGCTCAGAGGTAGTAGCGCAGTTCTGGGTGTGTGTAGCACAGTTCTTGGGGGGTGGGGTGTGTGTGCGTGTGTGTGTGGTGGAGGAGACTGTCAGTAAGCATAAGACCAAAGTATTTAAGTTGTTGATGACTTATCCACATGGACTTTGATGTCACCCAGAAAGATGTCACTTACCATCTTGCTTTCTGGTTAGTCCTTGATGAATGGGTTCAAGTGTCCAGAAGGATGGAGGTTGGAGGTTATGGCGGCTGGGGGTATGTAGAGAGTGTTCCATAAACCTCTGATGGCATTGTCTCAAAGACATGAGCCTTTTCGTTCGGGGTCAGAAGATTAATGTTCTGGAATTGGAATTAGGTTGCATGAGGGGGCACCCTGGCCTCAATGTCCAACCCCAAGGTAAGGAGAGATGAGATCTGAGGGGAGAAGCAGTGTTCAGTTGAAGCAAAGAAGGTATACATCGAGTGGGGAGCACGGGGGGAGGAGCAGTGCGGAGGCTCTCGGGAAGGGCATGCAGCTGCCTGAGAGCCTGTTCACCACAAGGACCAGACCCAAGGTGAGGGCGGAGGATGCGGGGCAGGTCCACAGAGCAGGTGGGAAGGGTTGGAGGGAGAGCAGTAAACTTTTGAGTCAGCCAGCACTGAGAGACACAGTGGAACACAGGGAGCCACTGAGTCAAGCCAGCCCCAGGTGTAGCAGTAAACTTTTGAGTCAGCCAGCACTGAGAGACCTGCCCAGTGGAACACAGGGAGCCACTGAGTCAACCCAGCCCCAGGTGGTGTCACCACTGGCATCCTCCTGCTCTGAGATAATAGAATATCTTTAATTACATTTTCTATAAGAGCGTTTGTACTAATTCTAGTTTTATACACGTAAATTTTGTATATGTGCCTACATGCTTAATCTATGCAATATCATAATATTAACATGTTTGTTTTGTGTATTTAACCCCTTAAAACCTAGATTGGTGAAAAAAAACTCTGAGGAACTTAAAATGTGGTAACTTGGATAACCCCGCATTTCCTTAGGTGATGTCGATGACTATAGTGCTGAAGTAGAGGAAATTCTCCCTCAGCATCTCCAGCCATCTTCAAGTTCTGGCCTTGGCACTTCCCCAAGCTCTTCACCCCGGACCAGTCCCTGCCAGTCACCTACAATATCAGAGGGTCCTGTACCTTCCCTTCCCATGAGGCCAAGTCGAGCACCGTCCCGAACTCCTGGGCACGCACCTTCACAAAGTGTGTATTCTTTTTCTATGTGGTCACGTTTGTCCCTGTCTTATAATTGATGATTTTCTACCTTTTTAGTAGAAATCTGTAACTATTTGGGCTTAGCTATTTATCTGTACGTTACCTATGTGCTCATATGAAGCAAGAAGAGACAAAACAAGTTTTTTGAATTGAAATCTTAGTCATTACTTACTTCTCCAAACTTGGAAGATGTGTCTTTGGAAGCTCTTATGTTACACAATTAAGTCACTGCTCCATCCTAATCAACATCTTCAGAAACTACCTTCCATGTCATGAACTTTTCAGGTTTACCCATGCCGCTTTTAGAGGACTGGCTTCATGAAATGATAAACCAAGGTATAGAGAAAAGTAGAGACTCCCTTTTCTTTTTCTTCTCACTGCTGCTCAGCACACTTCAAGTGACTTAAAGAAAACTTTGTGCTGTCTTGACAGGGCCAGTCAGTAAATCACCTTTAGTACCTGGGGCCTAAGTAAGACATCCACATAGAGCTAGCATCACTTCTTCCAGGTACCAAAGGGTAATTTAATGGCAGAACTGCTTATGTTATTGGTACTAAAACAGTGTGTCGTGATGGTACAGTACAAATTTAGAAAATTAGCAAAATAGAGGATTTATCATACCTCTGTAGGAAGCACCATAACTCTATGTTCACACCTACTTGGAACCTGATCTTTTTACCTAAGATACTTTTCTAGGTTCTCCTATCGACACTCTGCCAGCAACGCAGCCGCAACAGAAAGATTCTCCCCAGACTCTGGAGCCCAAGCGGCCTCCTCCTCCCCGCCCAGGTGCTCCTCCCGCTCGGCCAGCTCCCCCACAAAGACCGCCTCCACCTTCCGGTAACGGACCGCGTTATTTCCATTTCTGCTAGATGTAAAATCCTCCTCCACTCTATTAAAAAAGTTTTGTATGTTTTCTAGATTTTATTATTTTTCTAGATTTTATTATTTTTCTATCATTGTTGCTACTTCCTCAGCTTTTCTCTAAAGAACGTTGTAGGAGCGTCAGAGCAGGCAAAAACGGTGTTTCCCCACTGGATTTCTGTAACGTTTCCATAGCTGCCTTCTTACACGTGTGCAAGAAGTGTTCATTTTGTTTCTGCTAGTTTGACGTAGTTGTACTAATTTCTGTTAAATGTGTAATTAGATCTAAAGAATATACATATACTTATTTACTGTAAAGTTTTACATATTTGTTTAAATGTTCTTTTAAAATCAATGTAGTGGTGTTACTTAAATTATTAGAAATATTTACATTAAATAATAGCTTTTTATAATACCAAGTGTCATCCTACATGATACTTGACATCGTGAGTACTATAGTAAATCTTTGACATTTCAATTCTTTATTTATGTCATTTCCTTTCTGCTGCGTATTTTCTTATGAACTATAAGGGGCTAGGAGTCCTGCACCTGCTAGAAAAGAATTTGGAGGTAACCGTTTATATTTGTTATGATATATACATCTTGGTTCATTGATGTTTTGGGGTTGGATCCCTATAACTGACAGACATTTTAGGTTTGTTTGATAAAAGTCAAAATGAATGACATTTTTACTCCAAGTTAAAAATAGCTCCAAATTTCCATAATATTCCTGTTAAGTAAAAGACTAGAGCTTGATTTTCATTGTGAATAAGGCTAGTAAAGGCTTCCATTTCCCAGATGGACATAGTTGAATTACCCATCAAGGCCTCATATACTTTTCCTTAATAAATATAGTCATTTTGGTCACAAAGATTTAATTTCCTCAAATCATATTAATTTCAAAAGGGATTCAGGTACAGTGACCATTTCCCAATTATTTGATTAGTGATGCTCTAGTACATTCCTTTGTCTAGTAGCTTGACAAATTTAGTGATTAGCAAAATTTCCCAGGAATGCAATTTAAAGTTAAAATAATCTGAAATATATCTTTCATTTTACATGGCTTTATCGTAACTTGTCATAAAACTCATGCCTCATTTTTTAAAATATAAGAACAATTTTATTTTTTTCAATAAGGAAATTTTTATTAACAAATGGATCACATTTTGTTTAAAGTGTTGTTTGATTTACACAAAAACACACAAAGTTCAGTTGGAGGTTATATTTGACAAGTTTATTTAACCTAATTCTCAAAGGATGAGACAGGTTATCACAGTTCCACAGAAGGGCTTTTACACACCCAGTTTTCATATTAAGGTTCACTTTTCATGAGTAGTTGGTCTCTAGTCTAGCTGATTAATGACATTGCCGACCAATTCACATGTTATTATAGATTGACTTTGCTTGTGTGTAGATTTTAATGACTTTGTATAATAAGGATAGTTTGACGTAGTTGTACTAATTCAGCATTACAGTTTCTGCAAAATACTGCTCAGTGATAATTTTTCCATTGACTTACAGAAAGCATTAATTTTTCCTATTTCAAACTCCTACTTTTATTTACATTTTCTTGTTAAGTTCTATTTATCTTCTGCTTTAATTAAGAAAACAACCTATAGAAAAAAATTTTAAATGACTTTATGAAAACTTATATCACCAATTTTGTAGCTTATTTAGAAATCTGATTGAGTTTTTTTAAAATTGCCTCTTCATGATTTTTTGATAGGCGGTATTTGCAACATATTTTTTTAACCCTACAAACCAATTACTCCTTTAAGGTAGTAAGCGTAAAGAAAGTCATTATAGTATTTTTAGAGCTTTTAAAAAATAATGCAGCAAAACTAACTTCTTAGAGATTAATATAGTCTCATAGAAATTTAAAGTGTTGTTCAAACTATGTTTTTTTTTTTCCTTTTTGGCTGTCAAGTATTAGGACGCTTATTTTTGATTTAACTCTAGATACAAGGAATGAGATGATCATAATGCAAAGGCTTTCCTTAAACATATTTTTAAATTCCCTACTGCTAGTAATCTCAGGTAGAAAAAGAAACTGTCATTCCTTTTCTATTCTTCTTTTTGTGGAAAGGGAGGACTCAGATTTGGGCTAGATATCGAAAGTCACTTTATATTGATATTTTTGAAGAACTTTAAAGTAAAAAAAGAACCTTTTTGCAACTGTAAGTCTGACGCAGAAATTGTCTTGTGTGCCTGGCTTTCTTTCTATGCTGTGGGCCCTGAACAATATACAGCTTCTGTTCTTTCTCTAAAAAGGTGTTGGAGCCCCTCCCAGTCCTGGGGTAGCTAGGCGAGAGATGGAAGGTAACAAGACTTTTGCACCATAGATACGGATCTCTCATTTTATTTCTCAATGTCAGCGCCTTCAGTGTTTAAAGGCATACCAAATCTTTTCTTAGTCCCACTGTAAACGTCCCCTCCCCCTCCTTATGTATACCTTGTAACCTTGTATTTTTTCTCTTTTCATTCTATGTTGTGTATAGTTTCTGATGGATATCCACTTAATTTCCCTGTGATTCTTATGTTGTTTTATGCTCTGTTTTGTTTCACATATACTTAGGATATGAAATTACTGTACAACATTACTTTAAGTAGAATGCCTTCAAAATCCTTTTCAGAATAAGTCAAATGTTTAGAAATGTACTGTACTAACTCTGAATTTTTAAAAATTAATAATTATAATTAAACCCTATTAATTCAGGTCCAAGAATCATTTGCGAATGATTTCATATTACTTAAATGTTTTTTATATAGTGATGCTGAACTAGATTTACTTAAAAGACCATTAAGACTGGATGCTATTTATTAAGATTATAGTCATTCAAGGGCTGATATATTTTGCATAACAATTGCACTTGAATTTCCTTCCAAAAAGAAAAAATCTTAGACGCCGCATTTAATAATCCTTCCTGCTCCTTTTGGCCCCAAGAGTAATTTATTTCATTTTACCCTTCCCATACCTTTCTAATGAGTATGAACCATGTTTTAACACTTTCTTCCACAAGGCAGATACTTAGCAATAAGATATGCCTGCCTTCTACCTTAATCTTAGGGTTTTGTTATAGGAATCCAAAAGATCTCATTATAAGATTATCATAATGACATCTACAGCATGAAGCCCTAAAACGGTATTGTTAAGAGCCTCTTGTGTAACTTGAAAAGTGCACCTCTGTCTGTATGCTCAGTTTTCAAGGTTCACAGAAGAGAGCTCTGTTGGGAGTCACCTAAAAGTGACCCTATGAATGAGGTATCAGACTGAGGGCTAAGTTATCTCCCATAAATGTCACTATAAGTATTCTAATTTTTCTCTTTTGGGACATTTCATTCAGGACTGATAATACCCTTCATCATCATCCAAAGCAAAGTACCGTTGTTACCATCTCATGCCCCTGTTGCTGCTGTAACAGAACAGCCAACTACTGTTATGCAATATTGCTTTATTGTTTACTTATGACTCATTTTTTTACTTCCTGCTTCAAAGCACCCAAAAGCCCTGGAACAACACGGAAAGATAATATAGGTAAAAACACTTGAATTGAGCTACTTAACCTTAAAACTGGACCATGAATAGACACTTGAGATAGAAGTACATGGTTTCTTGTTTATTTTTTTTTTACACTTGTGTACATTTTGTGATGTCTTTGTTCCAGGACGCAACCAGCCTTCACCTCAAGCAGGACCTGCAGGCCCAGGACCTGCTGGATACGGGGCAGCCAGACCGGTAGGCAGCACCCGGCATGGGAGCCAGGAGGGCTAAGTTTTAGGTCCCAATTTGCTACTAGTCACATGTGTTCCCTTGGAGAAATCATGTGACCCATTAAAGCCTCAGTTTCCTTAACTCTAAAATGAGGAAATTGCACTTGATGATCTCCGAGGTACCTTTTATCTCTAACATCATATTAACATATTCTTGAAAAATAGGTAAACATGCTTCATTTTTTGAATAAAAGTGATCTACTTAAGTAATTATTGTCACTAAATATCTTCGACTCTCTAAGCCATCTTTCAGTAAGGAGAATTTGAAAATTAGAGTTCAGGGCAAAAAACTTCTGAGAGAGTCAGTGTAGGAAAACTGGTTCTAAAAGTATTGAATGTAGGCAAGCAGGTGGTGGTGGTGGGCTTTTCCCTACGTGTGAATCTGTGGTTTTCTGCATATTTATCATATGTTCTTTCATATACATAATTATTCTATTCTTTACCCAAATGAAAAATTTCTCTGAGATATAAGTAATTTAAAAAAAAAAAAAGGAAAAAGAAAAAAAGTGGAAATCAGCGATCAGCCTGGGACTGCCATGAGGCCTCCAGCTGAAGAGTGGGAACTGGAAACTGTTACCAGAACTAGAAATTAAGGTTATAAGACATTAAGAAACTTAACTTCTAATTTCTCATGAGACATTCTCATAAAATTGCTGAGCTAGTAATGTTTTGTCTTTTCTGTTGTAGCTCTCTATTTAGCATCCAAACTAACGGTCCTTTCCTAAATGTAATATTACACTAATGTCTGTGGACTATTCCTACAGGTATCTATTACTCATTCTCCTTTTTGCAAAAAAA